TGATTATGCAGGGGGTCGGACTCGATGATCTATTGAGGTCCCTTCCGACCCTAACATCTATGAATCTATAAAAAAAACTATGACTTAATTGGCACCACAGACTTGGTGGGATAATTCCCGTAACTGGAATATGCACATTGTGAGGTATGCTTTGTTCCCGAATGACAGGTATGCGAAAAGCAAAGGAGGCATTGCATGTTATGTCAAAAATGTATCGACTTTTTGAGGGTAGAGCAGTGAACTACATCTGGATAAATGTGAAAAGAACAATAACTTAAAGAAAGTACCAGAGAACTTTTGAAAAAAATTAAATTTAAGGTAACAGGGTGTGTCGTACTTCATGTCAGGGTGCTAAGGGACCTAGAGGAAAACAACTTAGTCATTGGCAATATCTGCATATTCATGGATGACAGGCAGGATTGCAGAAGTGTGAAGAGGTATCATACTGCCCTCCCCACCCCACCTTCTATTGTTTGTTTGTGTCAAAGAAGACCTGGGAAAATTATAAACTAGTTGGTCTGACTTTTAACGCTTGGAAAGTTAGGACAAATTAAAAAAAAAAAAAATCAATTGGTAATATCTGGAGGGTGAAGGGATGATTGCTAGTTTCCGCTCATCAAACAAGCGTTAGTTCAAGCACCTCCGCCACCATTTGTAAGTGAGGGGACCCTGACACATGATATGCCATGGAGCTTTCTAAATTAAAGTGCCCCACTACCACCCCTGCAGCACATGTAAGAGTGCCCAGAGGTACTAAACGTAATGCACATGAGCAGTGGCAATACGTAGGGGGTACATGGGGGTGCACTTGCACCCCCTAAAAGCGCCAGTACACCCCCTTACTGGCCGTGCTCACTATTCAGGCAACGGGCGGGGGGGGCCATGTGAGAGTGCCGGTGCACCCCTGTGAGTGCTGGCAGGGGATTGGGAGTGCTGCAGCCACTTCACAATCAGCCGTGGGGGGACCCTTCAGCCCAGTAAGATTGGCCACGTAGGGACAACCCCAGTCGCTGACTGGTTGCTGGGGGATGCACATACCCCCCTGACTAAGCTGGCACCAGTCACCCATGCAGATTAGGAAAAGTGCATTAGTGATATATTGAGAATAGGCACATACTTCACATAAGCCGACAGTTGCACTAGGTGACCTTTGAAGCCCACGGATCCTATATGATTTCCTTTCAAATAAAATTGCTTTTAATTAAATTAGATTAATTGGACATTTAAGAGAGATAAATGAAATCTTTACAAATTTAGCATTCCAGCAAAGACGTACACAAATGATTATGCCTTAGCAAGAGCTGTTTCATAACACACATCCAACATTTGACCTATAAAGATGCTATTACCTACTACAGAATATCCTCTAAGATGTCAAGAACTATAGAAAAAAAAGTTCAAGAATTTTAAAAAACTCTACATATCGAAGAACTGTGCTACAGTCATGTTCATCTTTTCTCCGTAAGAATGCCCATTAAAACACCATAAATTAAAACACAGCACCTATGAGCAAAAAAAAGTGAAACTGGACAAATCTTACATACTGTTTTATAATGCTGACCAATAGTCAACATTAATATTATTAAAAACAGACACGTGGAGCAATTTTTGTAAATGTTCTCTCACCTACTGTATTGCTTATGAGCCGGTTCTTCTTGTTCCCATGCAGAGGTATGCTCTAGCTTTAAATAAACAAGCTTATCATTCCTGACACAGGTATCCAATGGATTAGCAATGGAACAGCCACTGGAAGGGCAAAGGTGGTCTGACTGACTTTTCACTAATACAGCGATTCCTTTTACTGATGAAGTTAAATCCTATAGGTACAGTTGGTTAAAGTTAGGAACATTTTGTATAGTCAATTTTTAAGCAATTCTATATGAAAAATTTAGTTTTCCCATAATTTTAGGAGATGCAATCTGCCACTTGCATTAGATTTATCAAACATACATATAATGATGTGTGCATTTCTGTTACAGTAACAATCATGATTCCCAGTGCTGAACCAGGCTCCCTAAACATTTGCAAGTACAGACAAAGGCAAAAAGCTTGTAATCTACAAAATTGAGGGTATTGGCAACCAGCTAATTTTGGCTGATGTGGCCGATAAATGGCCAGTGCATGTGCACAGCCACAGCTGCAGGCAGCCAGAAGTGCAGTCTGGCAGCATGGAGAGCAGCCAGATTGGGTTGGCAAGTCTGTTGTGGGGGAAGGGGTATGGGGGGCAGATCAAGGCCCCTGCAGCGAGGAAGGGAGTGGGGCTGGGGCAGAGGATGGAGATTTGAGCAGCTTGTCCAGGGGGTGCAGGCATTTCCTGTTGCTGCACACGCCCTAGGAGACCATGGGGCAAGAGGCGTTTGCCCAACTCTGTGCAGGGCGAGGGCAAGCTGCTGCTGCATGCTGGGGCGGCACCAGGCTCTTCTTGGCAGGGGCTGGGCCAGGATGCCCTCAGGTTGGGCAGTGGTGGCACTGGGAGAGGGGCTACGGGGAGGGGAGGGGTGCAGCCACCCCAAAATTCACCACAACCCCCCAATCCATCCTCCCAGCACCTCCGCCTTCCCCAAGCTCAGCCCTAAGATATGTTCTGATCCAAAGTCAGATTGCAGATCTTATCTCCATTCTGATTCTGATAACAAAGGCAGTATCACAGGTTACAGCACAGAAAATGATGAGGTCAATTGTTTTACAGGATCTGAGGTGGGGCTTGGATGGAGGAAGAGGTGAAAAGAATCACCATCTTCTGTTCTACTAAGTGCCACTCTGCTCCCTTTCCCCTGCCTGATCTGCTACTCTGCTTTCTGCTCCCAGCCCTGCCTAATTTGCTCCTTTGCTTTCTGGCCTGTTGCTGTGCTGCCTGTCCCATCCCTGATCTGCTACGTGCCATTTGTGGTACCCGTGCCACAAGTTGGCCACCCCGACCTAGAACACAATATTGGACTGGAAGGGATCACTCCCTCTGTAGCAACAGTGTTGCAATTGCAGGGTCCCTAAAGGTCCATAAGAATGTGCACTGAAGCCCTTCTTCCCCATACACAGAATAACCCTAACACTAATTATTCCAATCTTTAGTACAGAAGACCAAAAGCCTGAAAAGTCACATGATCTTGTGTCCTTGAATGGCTGTTAGAATCAAGCCCAGTCGAGATAAGTGCATCAAGCTAGATGACTTCAAATCCAATGCAAAGATTAAATCTGTTGTCTGTACTTTGCCTTAGTCAGTGATTCAACTTCCTAATGGCTGGTATGGCAACCAAGAGTTTGAACCAAGCCAAAAGACTCCTCAAGCTTCATCCCAGATCACCTACTCCAGTGCCACCAGGATTCTCACTGCAATCAATCCTAAGAAGAGAGTCTTTCTCTGCGTGGAGCAGTCTGCACACACATGAATATACAGACCCACAAGATTCTATATTAATAGATTTTGCTTTGATCCTAAAAAGACGCAGATGAAATCACAAAGTTTCATCATGTTTTGTACTCATGTTTTGGAAAACCCAAACACAAATTCACCCAGGTTTGCACAAGACTGAGTCCAGAGTCACAATCCACATGCCAGAAATTTAACAAATCCTGAAGAAATTCCATTTCACAGTTTCAGGTTTATTAAATCTGATTTTTTAAAAGCATCTCTCTTAGCTCAAGCATGAACCTCTCAAAATTATAAAGTCCATTATTATTCACTAACCTGATCAGAGTTAAGCTGTGAAGAACCATCTTGAAATACCATTGTAATCACTACAGCCAATGCCTGTTTAATAGTTCCAAGTAGTTGGATTTTTTCTTCATATTCTAAATTTCTTATGTCACAAAATGCTTTTTCAGATGATTCGCCTTGTTCGGAAGTCCAATCACACTTAGTTTTACATGGATTAATAGAGTGCTTTTCTGGTAACCATTTTTCTGACTTCTGTGAACAATACATAGGCACATCCCGTTTCCTTTTAAGACTGGAAGATTCTTTAAGATTCTTTTCACAATCCTTATTTTCCTTTGTCTTTACTGAAGAGTTCCCTTCACCACTGTGCCATTTTGGTAGACCTACCACCTGGTTACTTAGAATAGCACTTGAACAAAAGGGGGGCAATAGTAAGCCCATGCTGGCCTCTCGGTTGCAAAACACTTCATTTTTAAGAGATGTATTTTTTGCAGTGTAAGCAGACTTTAATAATACAGGTACAGAATTGTGAATCTCCTAGAAAAATAAGAAACATTTTGGTGAACAAATGATTCAACTGATTATTAAAAGTCAGCAACCAAATAAATATGAATTGAGTGTCTTTTTTAAAATATTTTTCCCCAAATAACGTGTGTGGAAGTTTTTTTATGCCGTCTGAGAGTCCTTTAAAAAAAGATCTGCTTCATATTTTGAATTTGTCAAGTTAAACAAATACTAATTCAAGAAAATATAAACAGAAGGTAAATGCTTAATGTAGATTTAGTTTTTATTTTAGTGAGGGAATACATGCATTTAATAAACTTCTCAAATGGTCATTATTGCTGGCTATACTGAAAGTGATTACAAATCTTATAAAAGGTACCCAAGTAACCCTTGTCCATGGCTCCCAATCAATGTGGATCTTCCACAACACTGAAAAACCTAATCTTCAGTGGCTCAATTTAAAAGAAGTTAAAATATTCCATACCCACTCAGTTCTAGGCCATATCACCAAGGCAGCAAAAAAGATTGGTCTTTGTCCTTCACCATTCTTTATATTCCTTAACTGCAACTTTGTAAAACCAGAAGAATCAGCTGTACTTTTCAGACCAGTGTTTCTCAACCACTGTATATGCTTAACCCTTGGCTGAAGTCAGCTACTTGACATTATACACCATTGAACCAAGTTTATAGTCAAACAACACATTTAAACAGAAACATTGCTTTGTTGCGTGTGGCTGGCTGTGACCAAGGTGGTGAACCATTGTTTCAGGAAGAAAGCAAATTAACTGGACAGGGATAAACTATACAATGTGCATGTGCGGGGCAGAAGGATTATGCATTTTTGACCCCAAATAAGAGAGTAGCAGCTCTCTCAAAAGGTCAAGAGGAGCACCCATCTTCACCACGTGCCACCCAGACATTCAAATCGGGTAATTCAATCCAGTATATTCTTCAGTCAAGAAATAATGGGTCCTATATGTAGCACTTGTTTACTTGATGTACACATAAAGCTGAATTATACATATGGTTTGGTGGGGGGAGAGAAATCACAAGGAACATGTAAGAGGTCAAAATTGAGTGGGCAAGACATGTCACCACTGTCCAGCCAAAATGGGACTCCAGATAGCCACTTCAGAGAAAAGTTCCCAGACTAGACAAGCTGAGAAATGAAATGCTTCCTCAAGATAATGCTAGCTGCTTCTAGAAGCAGGAAGAAACTATTTGGGAACCATTAGTGAGCTGACAAAATGAACAAAAAAAACTGTATCCTGGACTGCCTACTAAATGGATGCCAGGTACCTGGCATCTAGCAGAAGCAGCACAACTGTAAAAACTCGTGGCTAAAAAAAGTATTTGCTGTTTTTAGTACTAAATCTTGAAGCATTTTTTAATCTCAATAGCTTTCCATATAATATATGGAAATATATAAATCACACACACTAAGCAATTTCTTTGTTTGCAGTATGCTTGCCTTTTCATGTTCCAGAAGCGTTTCCTTTTCCCTGAATTTATACTCGTTTGTCTCCTCAACAGCACCTTAAAGAGAAAAAAAAAAAAGCCTATTAAGGTTACCTAAAAACTTTCCATCACACTATTTTCAACTGCCTACAATGTTACCAAAATGTAACTATTTGCACTGACATTTTCCATACTAGTTGCATACTTCCGAATAAATATTCTTGGAAATTCTTATGCTTTCCAAGAGTTAGCCATTACCTAAAACAGACGGAGTGAAAGTGTATTTTGCTTATATCAAGAAGTTTGTACTTCTCGGAAACATTAGCACCTCCAGATAGTTGCAATGGCTTGAAAAAAAGTGTCACCCTGGTATCACTTGTGCCTCTCAACTTTCCTGTAAAAAATCCACCCAAATTTGGTGAAGTTTAAAAAAAACCCCAAAACAAGTCTCTCATATGCTCAGTAAGTAATTAGACACTGGCAGTATTTTTCAGAAGAGATTACTGATAAATTTGGGATCCAAAATAAAGAGCACAGCAGCTTTGGTAACCAACTTTAGCTCAGCAGCAGTATGCTGTTGGAAACTACCAAACTCAACCTACATGAATTAAAAAAAAAAAATTGGGGAATAAAACCTGGATGCAAGGAGCCCCAATTTGTCCAGTGGGTTTGGCCTAAAAAAGAAAAATATATATGACCCACGTTTGATATGCATTAGACTCTTCCACCCCCCACATGCATCAACAAGGCTGGAAACCTGGCCTATAGATCCCCTCAGTTCAAACCTCTATAACAAAAAGTCTATATACCTTAGATAGATTTTGCGCAGTTTTTCCAGTAGATTACACAAATATTTATTATGGAAAAATGAAGAGCAGAAATCCTGAACACATATGGTTGCTGATCTGAAGTGGCATCTCCACGTTAAAAGACATCTTCCTTCAACAGCAAATCCTATGGCAATGGGTGATTAGCAACAGGGGCAGATGCCAGTGATTACTAAATCACAGATCCATGCAGAGGCAATGATTGTCCTTTTTTAAATACATAGAGGGTAAAAAGAAGGTGCCAAATAATGTGGGGCCTCTGCAGGACATGCTTGGTAACCTCGTGGTAGCACCAGATGACAAAGCTAATCTCTTTAACAGATTCTTTGCTTCGATTTTTCTGAGCAGGGACCGGGACATCCCCCCCACCCCCACTGGGATTCCGGACAGACCCAGGGGAGGCGCAGCCAGGCCCAGGGTCAGTGAGGACCTAGTCAGGGAACTTCTGGTGGGACTAGATGTGTTCAAATCAGCAGGTCCTGACGACCTCCACCCTGGAATACTTAGGGAAATGGCAGAGGTCATTGCAGGACCCCTGGCACAGCTTTACGAGCACTCATGGTGCTCTGGTGAGGTGCCTGATGACTGGAAAAGTGGCAATGTGGTCCCCATTTTCAAAAAAGGGAAGAAGAAGGACCCAGGAAACTATAGGCCTGTTAGTCTTACCTCGGTCCTGGGGAAGCTCTTTAAGGAAATTATCCAGGAGCACATCTGCGAGGGGCCAGCAGGGGAGTTTATGCTTAGGGGCAATCAGCACTGGTTCATTAGAGGCAGGTCCTGTCAGACCAACCTGGTAGCCTTCTATGACCAGGTCACAAAAGAATTGAACACAGATGTCGCGGTGGACACAGTCTTCCTGGACTTTAGTAAGGCCTTCGACACCGTCTCTCACCCCATCCTCATAAAAAAAATTAGGCATCTGTGGTGTCGACGCCTACACAGTCAGATGGGTCATAAATTGGCTGGAGGGCTGCACCCAGAGTGGTGGTGGTGGACAGGTCGTTTTCAACCTGGAGAGATGTGGGCAGCGGAGTTCTGCAGGGCTCGGTCCTTGGGCCCACACTGTTCAATATCTTCATTGGCGATTTGAACGAGGGGGTGATGTGGTGGCCAGAACCAGAGGGGTTACTATCATGAGCAATAAATATATGCTCTTGGAGACATCCAGGCAAATTGTTTAGCAGTTAAGATTAGCTAATGCAAAGCTTGCAAGTTTGCAACCTGCAAGTGGAATTTGTCGGTCACAATTTAACCAAAGTGTTGAATCTAACTATTTGCACTGATCATGGGCCCCCAAAATAAGCAAACTACAAGATTAGCTTATGTAACAGGTTTTTTAAAGGTCAGCCATAACAAGATTTGACCACCTAATATAATTAGCACATTCCAAGGAATAAAAAACCGAGGAGTTGAGCTTGGGCAGAGTAATGCTAATTTCAAACCTCAAAGTAACGTAGTATAATTTGCTTATTGGGTGAACCCGAGTTCGAACAGTAACCTTTCATGATAATTTTTAACACCTTTTGATCCCATAGGGTAACAGCTATCGGGCAAGATTGTGAGTGGCTCTAAAGCCAACAGATTAACATAAGGCATAAAGGAACATGCATGTCAAGTGACCAGTTAGAAGGATAGGACAGAAGGACCATCGCTGTACCAAGCCTGGATCCTGGACTCCCAGTGTGAATGAGGACCGGATCCTGACCAAGGGACTTTCCCAGTGACCCCTCAGACAGCATTGATCGGGGACACCTGACTTTGCTGGAGCAACTTGGTGCACACCTGGCATAGAGGGACTGCTGATAAGTTGCCAACCCCATATGCGAAATCTTTGTCATTCTGTCTATCTGTTGTTTTCATTCACTATTAGCTCTTTATTACTGTGCTATCTGTTTGTCACATTAACCTTTCTGTTAACTGTTTTATGCTAAGCTATAAGTAAATTTGCCTTTACTTCACTCCTGACTCGCCTCCTTGATCCCGAACCCAGCAGCCTAACGGCTGATACACTCACAGCGCCTAGCCGGCCTGTGACAGGTGAAAAGCACCTTGTTCAAGTTCACAGATGACACTAAGATGTGGGAAGAAGTGAGCACGCTAGAAGAGAGGGACAGGCTACAACTAGATCTCGATAGGTCACAGGGGTGGTCAGATGAGAACAGGATGGGTTTCAATATGGACAAGTGCAAGGTGTTGCACCTGGGAAGGAAGAATCAGCAGCATACCTACAGGCTGGGGAACTCCCTTCTTATCAGCACAAAGGCAGAGAAGGATCTTGGAATCACTATTGATTCCAAGATGAACATGGGCCACCAATGTGGGGACGCGGTCAGAAAGGCTAACCGCACCTTGTCATGCATCCATAGATGCATCACAAGCAGGTCCAAGGAGGTGATTCGCCCCCTCTATGCAACACTGGTCAGGCTGCAGTTGGAGTACTGCATCCAGTTCTGGGCACCACACTTCAGGAGGGATGTGGACAGCATCGAGAGGGTCCAGAGGAGGGCCACTCACACAGTCGGGGGCAGCAAGGCAGGCCCTATGAGGAGAGGCTATGGGACCTCAACCTGTTCAGCCTCCACAAAAGAAGGCTGAGAGGGGATCTGGTGGCCACCTACAAACTTGCCAAGGGGGACCAGCAGGCAATGGGAGAGTCCCTGTTCCCCCGAGCACTACCGGGGGTAACAAGGAACAACAGCCATAAGTTGACTGAGAGTAAATTCAGGCTAGATATCAGGAAGCACTACTTCACTGTCAGGGCGGCTAAGAGCTGGAACCAACTTCCAAGGGAAGTGGAGCTTGCCCCTACCCTGGGGGTCTTCAAAAAGGAGGCCAGACAGACACCTAGCTGGGGTCATTTGACCCCAGCATCCTTTCCTACCCATGGCAGGGGGTCAGACTAGATGATCTGTTCAGGTCCCTTCCGACCCTACCAACTATGAAACTATTGTCCAGTGGTCACTTTGTACTTGGAACTGACATAGGTGTGCAGTTTAGCAGCTGCAATCATGACTGACCAGGCCTATGTAGGATTGACTCTACTCACCCCACATAGGGAAGGGACTAGGAAAGGTGCTTTAAAGAGAGTCTGTATTGCCAGATTGGAAAACCACATCCAATGGGATCACTTTAGCTGCAGTCCAAAACAAGTAATGAAAGTTAGCATTCTGGACCATCGGCACCCTGGCAGACAACCCTAATAGTTACTGACAGGAAAAGAACAGTGCTTATGCCAGAGAACTTATACAATTTGATACTGACCTCTTGCAATGGTTAGGGAGAACATTTTAGATTCAATTTATAAGATTTAGAGCTACCATATTATAAACCTAGATTCTGACATTTCTAAACAGAGAGGGGTAGACTCATACTTGACTACCTTCTAATGTGGAGATCATAGTCTTGACCAGTAACAGAAATCAAAATTTTCAGGACTTCCATTAGTCAAGTCTTTGATTAACGAGCTCTTGATCCCCAGCTCAAGAGTCATTCCCACAGACTATGGAGCATGATGTAGGGGAGTCTGTCTCTAAAATATTGAGTCAACAGCTAAGTACAGAAAGTCAAAGAGCCCAAGGCTGAATCAATTCAGTCTTTGCAGGTTAGTCTAAACTGCACAGATTGAACCAATATAAGCAAGTGAACAGAGATTCACTTTTGATTCTGGAAATACAGCCACATGCCTGCAGTGTCCCAGGCCAGAAGCCAGAGGGTGCTACAGCACACCTCCCTACTCAGCTGGAGCAGACAGCTTGGGCCAAGGCTAGCCCCTTTCCCCCACCCCACACATACCTTGGAAGGAGGGTACAAAGCATCCTGAGATGCTGGAGCACTGCAAGTTAATGTGAATCTGAAGGGGATATGACACAGAAGTTCAATAAACCAATTTAACCTAAATCAGTTAAGTCTGATACTACCTCCACCCAAGTTTATCTTAAACTGGTTTTGGCCATTTTGAAAGCAGTTTATGTCCACTGAACTTCTGGTGTGTTACAGGTTTGAACTGGTTTCCAATCACTTATACTGGTTTGTGTGTAATTTCTATCCCTAGCCAAGAAGTCTAACACAGACAACGCTGAACAAGTAAAAAGAACTGCTGTGCATGCAGAAGTGTTACTATTGCAAAATGTATTTGCTTCATACAAGGTTAAAAAACAACAATTTGTGAATGTGAAACAGAAGTTCCTCTTTTTTAGCACTGTGCTACTTAGGGGAGTTAAGTAATGTGGCAAAGTCAAAATTAAAACCCAGGAGATAATTCATTTTTGCCAAAAGAACCCAAAGAATGCTCACCCAATTCAAAAGAATGACTTGAACATTATTTCTAACAAAATATTGTCTGTGTATCAAAAGATCTGAAAATGGAAGAGATTCAAATACCACATGAATTTTAAGTTCTATTAGTTTCCCCCCAAGTTTTTGGAAAACAATACTTCTCGAAACTGATTTGACCTTAAATGTAACCAGTATCAATACAGGTCCACATTGCAAATTTATCAACACAGAGCAAATAAAATTTGAATTTCACGGAATCATGAAGAACCATTAAATCATAGGGAAGTAGGACTGGAAGGGACCTTCATTTGATATAAACAGATTACAGCGAAGCAAAGAACCATTACGTATGACCTTATGATTATTTTGACGCATCAGGGCCAAATTCTGACATCTTAACTTGCACTTGGATAAAGTTATCAGTACAGTAAAAGCGAGACATTTGGCCAAAGTAATAACTAGGTTTGATCAAACACGCAAAGCTAGCAATATTAAAATCATGATCTACCTACTTATACTATAGAAGTGGAGATTACTGGTAAGTATTAAACATTGTACATCTACAGTTCTGCCGAAGTTATCGCACAGTATGAAACAACAACACGGTTCTAGTAGGGCAGGGGCAGTGTGTCAGCTATGGTGGATAAGGAAAGGCAAAGATATTTTCATGATATCTTTAACACAAGGTTCTAGATATTAACAGCTGCTGACATAATCTGCTTCAAGACTCGGGAATTTTAGTTTTTCCTCCATTTCCATCCTCATTATAAGTTATTCAGTGGATCTCAAAACTTATCCTAAATTTAACTATCTTAGCTGAAGTTTGAAAAAACCATCACTAGATGGCAGCATACATCCACTGTTGCTTTCATGGCTCAAGGCCAGAATGACATGACAGCACCTTTGGTTGAAATAAAGCATCTCTTCTTTTAAAAGAAACACTATTCTCAATATGCATTTTCAAGAAAATATCAAAATAAGATTCAATTGTATACTTATCAAAATAAAGTAAGGTCCAAGAGCTTCACCAAAGAGAGGTTTCTAAAAGGCTCATCTGATCAGTTGAGCTCTTTGCTTTTTTCCTCCACCTATCATACCAACTGGAAGGCTTACAAGTAAGAAATTTCCTGAACACCGCTGAATTCGTCAAATGTGTTCTTACAACTATCAACATAGGGAATTAATAAAAATGTGTTACAATTCTTTTCATTTAGCTTTAAAATTACCGAGTCGCACTCCTTTCTCTTCTCACTTAAAACATGTACACGCGCTCCTTGAACCATTTACATTTACTATTATAAAAACAGTTCCTCTAATTTGAGGCTTTTGGAATGGAGAGCCCAAAGGCTTAGAGAGATGGCAACATGTTATCATATGAAAAAAAGTTAACTTTTGACAAAAGAATTCACTGCCTGGAAGAAAGATAGGAGCCTGACAATAGCAGCAGAGTTAGGGGTGGGCAAATGGGGCACTAACTCCAGGCAAGGATTGAGAGGGCAATTTCATCCTGCTGGTCAGAGGGAGCAAGTGAGAGAAGGGAAGTAAAATGGATTGACACATGTGTGCATGTACACACATGTCTAAGTAGCCTGAGTTTCTAATTTATATCTGATTTACCATGTTACTAGACTAAATTTAACATCGACTCTTTCAAGCATCTTTATATTGAGTGTAGTTTTAAAATTCTGACATTCAAAAGTTTTCCTTTAGAAAAGTTTGATTATTGAAGGGTATATACATAAGTTAGAGTCATGTGTCTCATGTTTATAAGGCAAACATAGAATAGCTCGTGCTCAATTTGCAATCCAATGCTTAAGAAGGAATAATTACTACTATTTTAGTACTACAGTGAAAGGTTGCTTGCTTGTTATACAGTGCAATTACTGCATCATCTAGACAAAGGTGAAAATCATTCTACTTTGAGTTTTAGAAGCATGGGTTGAGAGATGCTACTTTTCAAACAAAGTCTTCCTGTTCTATAAGAATAATTTGTCATATTAAAAAGGAATTCCTCCGGAATGGCCAAGGCAAACTGATTATGCCATATTGGGTAATTAGTAGTGTGGAGGTAATCAATCACCTGGGTTCTGCCACAGCAGGGCCTACTTTCCAAGACCCCCAACCAACTCTTCAGTACAACAAAGCTCACCCACCAATACCAGGCTAAATCTAACGGGTGTTCCTGAAGTGAGACACCATTAAGAGTCTTTGGACCATAACTTATGCCCCTTCTGCCAACAGACCCCCCCCCCCCCCCCCCCCACCACCCCGCCCCCCG